TGCATGGGTATGTGTGTGTATGTGTATGAGTATGTATGTGTGTGGAATGTATTATGCATGGAAGAGTATGTGTGCATGCATGAGGTGTGTGTATATGGGTATATGTGTGTGACTATGTGGGGGATGTATGTGTGGGGGGTTATGTGTGTATGTGTGGGATGTATAGGTGTGTGTATGAGTATGTATGTATGTATGTATGGGGAGACATAAGTATGTGGGAGGAATATGTGTGTATGTGTGGCATATGTGTATGATGGCTGTGTGTGTATGAGTATGTGCATGAAACTATGTATGTGTGTAGATGATGTATGATATGTGTGTAGGGAATTTGTGTATGTGTAGGATGTGTGTGAAGACTGTATTGTGTGTTATGAGTATGTATGTGTGTGTGATATACGTATGTGAGGGAGTATGTATGTATGTTTGGGGTGTGTATATATGTGTATGGTGTGTATGACCTGTGTGTGTGTGATGTATGTATGTGTGTGTGTGCCTCAGAGAAATCAGTCTCTCTATCATGTGGGTCCCAGGGATTGCACTCAACTCCTCATATTTGACAGCAAGCACCTTTACTTTCTAAGTCACCTTTCTGGCCTTATTTTCTACATTTGAACTGACTTTTGCTATGTTGTGATATGGTTTGTGATGTAGTTTCTGATGTGTTGTGGCTTGCAATTTTGTTGTCAATTCCCTTGCAAGGTAGAGGACTTGCCAAAACAGTGGGGCTCAGCTGCTAAGACTATCTACTGCCCTTGCAGAAGACCTATGTTCAGTTCCCAGTCTGTATATGGCAGCTCCATAGGATCTGATGTCCTCTTCAGATGTCTGTGGACACAGTCACTCATATATATACACATACATACTACACATACATACACACAGTTATAACAGTTTGTCCCATTTTGTTCATCTTCCTACTTTTTCCTTATCCTTTCTCCTACCGAATGATCTCACCATCACGTTTGGGAAGCCAGCTGTAAACTGGCAGCCAGCACTGAAACAGTGCCAGCCAACTTCATTGCATCCCAGCCTCCATGTGGGATCTGATCCTGGACTCTGAGTTCAATTCCGTTGATTCATATTGTTCCCCTTATGTCAGCAATTTTCCCCCAAGACAGGCTTCCCCTGTGAAGCAGTCCTGCTGTCCTGTAACTCACTGTGTGGACCAGGCTGGCCTTGAACTCACAGAGATCCGCCTGTCTCTGCCTCCCGAGTGCTGGGATTAAAGGCATAACCTACCATGGCTCAAACCATTGAAGGCTAGGCTCACAACCAAAAATTATGTCAGTATTTTACCATCCTAATACCTTGAGCCATCCAGTTATCAGGAATTGGAAAGTAGGAGTTCTCACCTGTGTCCTTGTTGTCAAGGTTGTTTTGTCTGTACGTAACCCTTGGTTTTTATAGAAATTCTATAAAAAGTTATGTCCATTCTGGCAAAGAAACAGAGGGGGGCAGTGACTGATCAAACTTTCAGTAGTGTTTTTCCTGTTCTTTAGTTGTGGAGCCTATGCCTGAGGAGGATGATGGTGTTCCATCAGTGATTCCCTGTATTAGTCCTTCAAGGCACAGAATGTCTCAGTGAACCTAGAGCTAGGCTGGTGGCCAGTCAGCTCCAGACACTCGCCTCCCCAGTGCTGGGGCTACAGGTACACAAACAACACACTGGCCTTTTCTAGGATTGCTGGGAATTCAGGCTCGGGTCCTCACATCTGCCATAGAAAGTGGTTTTGCCGCCAGAACCACCTCCCTTAGCTATCTCATCCCCGTACTGTGGTGGCTTAAATGGGCTCTGCCCTTGGCTTGCAGTTGCTGGTGTTTAGTGGGGGCATCTGAGGAGTGGTCTTGCTGAGGGAGGTGTATCCTGAGGCCAGGATCTGAGAGTCAGAAGCCTCGCCATACTTTGTTTGCTCTCTGTTTCTTGCTAGCAGTTGAGGATGTGAGCCCTTGGCCTCCTTCCATGGTCCCCCTGTCTGCTGCTGTGACTTTCGCCATCATGGACTCTGACTCCTCGGAAACTTGTAGTCCAAACAAACTCTTTCTTCCTTGGTCCTTCCTGTGTTTTAATCACAGAGATAGAAAAGTAACTAGCATGTGCGGCCTCTGCCCAGTTAACACCGAGGTCACTCTGTGGGTAAAGTGGTCCTTACTTGGCTTAGACGCGTTTCTGCCTCTGTGTAGAGACACGCCTTCAACATCAAGAACTTTGTGTTTCTGTCTTTCTGTCACTCGTTTCTTGTGCAGACACTTGAGGCCAATCAAGGGAAGATTAAAAAAAAAAAAAAAAAACTCTTTCCAAGTCCTTTCTCAGTAGGCATATGCCTTGGGTATGGTCTTCTAGCATCCCGGGAAGTGTCAAGGGAATTTTCAAAGGATGTTGCTGTCATTGTCAACCAACTTTGTAAGCTTTTGCTACCTCCATGCTTAGCTCACTGGTATTACCTCCCCGGGAGACTTGGATGTTACATATTTGCCTGTAACCAGGTCTGTTCACAATGAGGACTTTGAGTCAAAAGAGACATATTACACTCTCTCAGTAGAGCTTTGCTGGGAACTAAGGAGCCAGCTGGGGAGACTTGTGAAGGTCTCCAGAGCCACACTGCTGCTTCTGCATTAGCTGAGCCCCCCAGGGTGTAAGGCTCTCCTTCCTCCAGGCATACTATTTTTAAAGGTTTCCTTGAAACTGGGGCAAAGGCTAGGAATTCTGAAGTTGAAACGCCATGAAACTCAAGGTTTCTACTGAGTTTTCTTTTTCTTTTTTTTTTTTTAAGTATTATCTGAGATACTTTTCAGGATCATGAGGAAGAGATCTTGACACCTTTTGCCATTGTTGTCTGTGTTCCTGTGGAGGAGTGGAGCTTTCAGGTTGTTGTATCATCTCCTCTGTTTTTATTTTAAACTTGGGTTTTCACTTAGGGCAGATGAGGCTAGAACAGCATGTGGAAATGCCTGGGACACAATGAACACCAGATTAATTTGGGATAAGGAATTTCTAGATGAAGGAAATGGGTTGATTTCACCGTTGCTCCTTTGTGTAAGTTTTCTCTAGTGCAGTGTGATACGCCACTATGGGAGCTGGAGAGAGTAGGTGGGTTCTGTGAAGCTGTGGTGTCTGGTTTTCCATCCCATAGCAGATAAGGAAAACACATGTTAGAGCGGACAGACAGGTGGCTAGCAGTGTGAGGTAAGATTTTGATATAAGGAAATCAGATGGATGGTCAATGATGATGCGCAGGTCACCTGCAGGCATAACTTTCCATAGACTGTGTCTATGTTCAAATGGAAATGCTAATTTGTATTCATATTCTCTGCTTTTTGCAACTGATAATGCCTCATGTGTCTTAGCAATTCTTTCTGTCAAAGAATTGGTAGTGTTTAAGGTCTGATACTTAAAATTGTAGACCGCATTTACTCAGCACATCTGTGGCAAGAGATATTCTACATACAAATGATATTATAATGAGACACTTCTGTCTCCTTGGTGACATTCCATTGATGGAAAAGATTCAGTAACAATCCAACACCATGCATCGTGGGCATCACAGCCTCTTACAAGCTGGGGTGTCAACAGTGTACAGTTTCCGTGAAGACACAGGGGGAAACATGATTCTCCTTCCTGAAAACAGAGCCTTGGTGCACAGTAGTTTTGTTTCTGCACTCCCTGTACTAAGTCCTTCAGGTCTGTAAGTAATGCCAGCACCTCTATACAGAGCAGAGCTCACACCAGTCTGTTGCTGCACACATCATATGTGAGGTTTCTAGCTACACGAGATGCTAAGGGCTAACTGATCTCTTCAGAATAAGGTCTGCTCAACACCTGTGTCATCTCAGGACACTGTGAGGTCAGGTCGTTCAACACATCACAAAAGCAGAGGGAGATCGAGAGTGAACTGTCGAAGGAGTCTCAGCAGCCGAATAGAGCAGGATTCCCCCATGCAAATGGCGAAACGTGGGTTCAGAGAGCAGTCCACATAAAACCCACTTGGAACGTGGACCCCATTAGCTGACTTTATGGAAGCTGGTTTGATGGAAACATGTTGGGGATCAAGGAGCCACTTGTAGCAAGAAAAACAGCAAAACTTCAAGAGTTTCCTGTTGCATGTGGCCTAGATAAGAGACCACTCTTCAAAGCCCACATACAGAGCCCACTTCAAAGGCCTATATTACAGATGGTAGTTCGAAGGCTTCCTAAGACCCCCATCAAATCATAGGATGCTCGACTGGGCTGAATAGCACACATGGGCCAATGTCTTCCACCAAAAAAAAAAAGTCATCCTGGTGTGGGGGGATCCTGAGGGTTTTCTATTGAGGTGCTACATAAGGAAATACGGTTCAAAAACACCATTGTCAAAGGGTGTACTTAGAAATGTAGGGTAGCTACTGATGTTAGGATGTACCAGAGAGTTACATGGAGGGGCAGCCAGACACTTTGCCAAATCAAAACTGTTTCCCTGAGATGATCTTTCTCGATTCACTCGGTGATAAAACCCAGAAACAGCATGATGACGCTGAACTACGTATGAGTGGCATGTCCCTCCTGAGAGAAAAGCGTCAACACCCTAAAGTTCCTGGATCAAAACTATCATAAACTGACACCCGGACATGACAAACTGAGTTTGGTCTCCAGCATCCACATAAAAGCGGAGCCTGGCAGCATGAGCTCTATTCCAAGAGATAGGCGGGTAAAGACAGGAGGCTTCCCTGGGGCTCCCTGGGGCTCCCTGGGACTCCTGATTTCAATGAGAGAGGCTGTCTCAAAAAATATGGTGGAGAAGTTATTTAGGAAGATGCATAGTGTTAACATTTGGCCTCTATATACACACTTACACAGTCACCTTAGGACACACACACACAACTGTAGCTGGGGTGTCATAGATTTTGTAAATACTTTATAAATATAATTTCAGTGCTAACCCTAAGGCTGCTTTTCAACTATTAGGGACCTAGTGCCAGTGTGGGTGACCATTTAGCTATTATAACTCTGTCATTTCTTCTTGCAGTGTCTTGGCAGGCTACAATGGTACCATCTTCGCATATGGGCAGACAGGCAGTGGCAAGACCTTCACCATCACAGGTGGGGCTGAGCGCTACAGCGACCGAGGCATCATCCCAAGGACTCTGTCTTATATTTTTGAGCAGTTGCAAAAGGTAAAGAAGAAAGAGTTCCCGTTTTATTTGATCTATTCATCAGAAATGCACCACACAGAGGAAATGTGATAAGGCATCTCTTTGTTACACTGTGCCCACTGGAAATATGCTACTGTGGAATAACACCAGCCTCTACATTTAAGGAGGTTTGGACTTTGCCGGAGGAGTGGAAATAAAGAAGGTGCTCTCATACCAGGGCTGGGACTTCATCAAGGGCTGGGGCTCCATTTGAGATGCCCACAGACTTAGAGAGAGAGCTTTTGGTGGAGTGGAAGTTGGTGTAATGGATGCGGTGGGGCTGGGTGTGCGAGTATGCATGTGTGTGCATGTACATGTGTGTGAATATGCATGTATGTGAGTGTGCATGTGTGTGAGCATGCATGTGTGGGTGCGTGCATGAGTGTAAGTGCATTGTGTGAATGTGTATTGTGGGAGTGTGCATGTGTGGAAGTGTGCATGTGTCGGAGCATGCATGTGTGTGACCATGTATGTGTGTGAACTTGCATGTGTGAGCATGCATGTAGGTGAACATGCATATGTATGAGAGTGCATGTGTGTGAGCATGCATGTGTGGAAGTGTGCATTGTGGGAGTGTGCATGTGTCGGAGCATGCATGTGTGTGACCATGTATGTGTGTGAACTTGATGTGTGAGCATGCATGTAGGTGAACATGCATATGTATGAGCGTGCATGTGTGTGAGCATGCATGTGTGGAAGTGTGCATTGTGGGAGTGTGCATGTGTCGGAGCATGCATGTGTGTGACCATGTATGTGTGTGAACTTGCATGTGTGAGCATGCATGTAGGTGAACATGCATATGTATGAGTGTGCATGTGTGTGAGCATGCATGTGTGGGAATATGCATGTGTGGGACTATGTATGTATGGGAGTGTGCATATGTGTGAGCTTGCATGTGTGTGAGCATGCATTTGTGTGAATGTGCATGTGTGAGCATGCATGTGTATCAGTGTGCATGTGTGGTATCGTACGTGTGTGTGAATTTGCATGTATGTGAACGTGCATGTGTGTGAGCATGTATGTGTGGGAGTGGTGCAGAAGTTGATGTTTGAGATCTTCTATTGTTCTCCACTGACACTGTTCTCTTTCTGTTTTTTGAGCTAAGCTCTCACTAATTTGACTGGCTCATCAGTGGGCTCTGGGGTGTTTTCTCCCCCAGCCCGGCATTAGGGTTACTGCCATTCACCACCATATCCAGTTTTTCACATGGATTCTGGGGATCTGAACTCGGATCTGCTGTGCCACAGCCAGCACTTCATCCACGGAGCCATTTCCCCACTCAGATCACATCTTTTACAGCTAGTATCTTAGACTCTGCAGCTGGAAACCCTTTACCAGGACAAATCTTTTCTATCCCCTAAAATACCAAACCAATCAGACGGCATGATTGTCAGTTTGCCATGGTAATAATAGAAGCTGGAGGAATTTGTCAGAATACAAACCCTACTGCAGTGAACATAAGCATATTCTCGAGGCATTCCCTGTCTCTCCTGTATGTGTTACCTCCTTATGAATGTTTTGCCCATGTGTGTCTGTGTACTATGCATATGCCTGGTGCCCACAGAAGGCAGAAGAGTGTGTTAGATTCCCTGGAACTAGAGTAAGGTTGGTGTGAGAAACCATATGGGTGCTGAGAATTGCACCCAGGTCCTCTGAAAGTGCAAAAAGTGATCTAAGGCACTGAGCCGTCTCTCCATGTGAGGCTTTTTAATACAACATATATTGTAACTAGCAAACTATGCATCTTGATTCCCATCTTAGAGTTGGAAAAAGTGAGCCTCCATTGAGATACTTTTCTCTGGGTCCGCTTCTTACAATAGCCAGCCCGCAACTCTGGAAGCCAAACTGCTTCCCTGTATTTGAGATTGGCTTTGTTTTGTTGGCTGTGTTTGAATCCATTTCCTGTGATGAGTCACTTAACTTCTGTGGGTTTCTGCTTTCCATTTTCTGAGAGCAAGGGCTAAACTGTTCTGGAAGCTCTCCGCCTCCCTCCCAGCTCCAGCGAGTCCTTGGACTCGGTATAAACGTCTAACTGGCTTGCTGCGCAGTCATTCTGGAACTCCCTGCTGAATGTTATTTGCATTTTGAGTTGCAAAGATGAGAAGAAATTGCTGAGAGCTGCATAATTCTAATTGGCATCCGTAAAACAGCAATTATCCATTAGTTCAGCTCTTCTCTCACTGGCCCCAGAATGCCAACTGTGTGAGCCGGAGAAAGCGGAGGGGGAAGGGCTGAGTAGATGTGTACACACCTGTGTAGCCCTGACTGTACCTGTTTTGCCTTTTTCACACATTTCACAAACAGGACTATGATCTCCAATGGCTTTCGTTGCCATGGACCCATGAGGAAAGCTGCCATCCTAGAACTGTGTGCCATGATGGCATGTGGCTTTATGTCTCAGTGGCATGGAACTCCTGTGGGTGGCAAACATGGAAGACGGTGCAGCAGTGAAGAGTGTGCTCTGCTCGTGCAGAGAGCTCGAGCTTTGTTCTGAGCACCCATAAAGGCAGCTCTCGGCTGCCTAAAACTCCAGCTTCAGGGAATCAACGCCCTTTTTCAGTCTCATGCATGCACCCACAGAGACAAATGTAATTTAAAATAATAAAAAAAAACACTCTTTAAACTTCTTGGCACACTGAGAATGCTTAGTTCGTGATCATCATTCCCATACCATTAATGTCTGTACGTGCAAACACAGCGATTGCTACCATATTCATCAATATTCATATATGTCCACTGGCCTAATGATAACTGGCTAGTTTTAGAAAACCTTCTGAAGCTCTCGGAATCAATGAAGCCAGTTTCCCTGGCTAGGCTGAATAGAATAAACCAATCCTCTCCTAATGAAAAGCACATTTGTCTCTTCTAAGATCTCCATGGTAACCCAAGAGCACCTCGAGAAGTCTTAGGTCTCCAGGAACCGACCATCGTCAGGGTTGTTGGGAGATTGCCTTGTCATTGATGTCACTCTAAACCTTGTACAGTTCTGAGTCATCCCAAGTAATTCCCTGGACTTGGAGAAAGCACGACCAACTGACAGCCAGGGAAACTGAAATGGACCAGTTTCTGCCATGGGCCCACACGTTCATTGTAATCATAGTGGATTGTACTAACAACAAGCCGGGCAACTTAAAGTGTCGCATGAACTGTGGCCACAGTGGAGACTAGAAAACATAGACCGGAGCCAGAGGCTCTGCGAGTTGTCCTAGATCAGAGAGCTCAGTGTGAGACCAAGTCCTTCAAGACAAACTAAGTGCCCAGCGCAGCCTGTGTTGTGAAAGTCTGGGAGTGAGCCCGCATTTCCGCTGGACTGGGAGGATTCCATCTGTTTCAGGACTCCTTCTCCTCACACTGGAGCATTGTGAGGCTCACCATTGTTTGGGTCAGAAGAAATGTCTGTCTGCAGGAAACACGTGTGTTACATTACAGTCTGGCAACCCAGATGCTGAAAAGGACCAAGAAAGGTAGCTTGTCACATCACTCAGTGAGACTGGAGTGTGTGTGCCAGAAAAACTGCAGAAGCAAAAACCCTGGAGGAGCCGAGAGGCATTGTCCTTACCACCGGGATGGTGGGCTGGCCATTTCCCCGATTTATTTTCCTAATTTAAAGAAGAGAGTGTCCCCTTACAGATGGTGGTTCAAGTTCACTCTTCTTTTCTCATGTCCATTCTTTTTATTTTCTTGTATTATTTTAGCTACTTTGACCAGGGCTGTAACAAAATACCCAACAAAAACAGCTTAAAGTGGTGTGTATTTTGCCTCAGTATTTGAGGATATAAGTACCCCGTGTGGGGAGGGCGCGCTGGTGGGAACATGTCCTGACTGGTCACGTTGTGTGCACAGTCAGAAGGCAGAGGGACGAGTGCTAGTGCTCAACCCTTTCCTCTCAGTTCAGGACCCTGCCCCTGGGAAGGTGCCATCCATGTTCAGGAGGGTTTTCCTTCTCCAGTGACTCTTCTCTGGAAACCCATCATACTTAATCCTCCATTTGCAGGCTTCCAGACATAATACTTGAAAACATTTATCAACAGCAGGAACAATAGCAACAGCCACGTAGTTCATCATTGGTGCCCAGGTACTTTTGGTAGGACTTGACATGTAGACATCCTTCTTGTATGTCAGATTTGCAAGAATAGGAGTATTTTATAGCTTGTTGTCAGCATGGAGCCATGTTTCATTTCCAGAACCCACATTGGGTGACTCCAGCTCAGGAAATCTAATGCCCTCTTCTGGCCTTTGTGGGTACCTGAACTCATGCACACGTGTGCACGCGCGCACACACACACACACACACACAGAGAGAGAGAGAGAGAGAGAGAGAGAGAGAGAGAGAGAGAGAGAGAATAATAAGTCTTTTTTAGAAGAATATAAAATTCTGAGTAGTAGGAAAGGAAATTAAGTATTGTTGAAGGAGGCCATTCAGCAGCTCAGACCCAAAATAATTACACAGACTATGTTACTTAAAACACTGCTTGGCCTATTAGCTCTAACATATTGACTAGCTCATACATTTTAATTTAACCCATTTTTAGTAATCTGTGTATTGCCACGTGGCTGTGGTTTACCAGGTAAAGTTCCTGGTAAAGGCTCCACCTTCTTCCTCCCAGAATTCACTTTAGTTCCCCCCCCCCCCCTATTCCCTGTGCAGGCCCAAGACAGTTTCTTTATTAACCAATGGTATTCATAGCATTCAGAGGGGAATCCCACATCATAGTATGATCATGAACGGAAACTTTGGCTCCTGGTCTTTGAACCTCTGCTCTTGTATGAATAGACTGTTCACAGAATGTAAGGTTGTTTATTTTTTCTTAGTAACCTTTTTGGGGAATCTAGAAAATAAAATACAATGTATTATTCATTTCTATAGCCATCTTGGCTCACTGCAAGTGTATATTGACATTTTATGTATAATGTAGAACCAATAAAAACTGATAGACTGAAATTACTTGTAATCATGAATATTGGATATACCAAAAAATCCCAAACACTTTATGCAGATGGCCACAGTAACTCAAAAGTGTCACAAACTGAAAATGTAAATCCTACAAAATGGTAAGGCAAAGGAGGGTGTTGTAAGGAAGCCCAGGGACATATGGCGCATCTCTCTCTAGCCAAACAGTTGTTTTTAGTCATTAAATAATGTCTTTCCCTTCTTCTGCAACCAGGACAGCAGCAAGATCTACACAACACACATTTCTTACTTGGAAATCTACAATGAATGTGGCTACGACCTGCTGGATCCGAGACACGAGGCCTCCACACTGGAAGACCTGCCGTGAGTAGCAGGGTGACAAAGGCCAGCAGGAAATGGTTTTCAGATGTTGCTTTCCATTGTTTCCTTTGATCATAATTAGCAAATATTGGAGGGCAGCATCTTTCCGTAATGAGCAGGAGCGATGGGAACTAAGATTACTTGAAACTCATTTCTTGGGGGAGTCTCTGTGGGAGTCGGCACGAGATTGCAGTGGCTGCTCCAGTGGGCATTTCAAGACTGGGGGCAGCACTCCCCCCCCATACAAAGCCACACACTTCTTTAAATGCTCCCTTCCTCCACAAACAGTGCTCAGTTTGTGCAGTAGGACAGTCTGATGAGTCCAATCAGAAGGTCCCCAGAGGCTTCTCTGCTGTCATTAGCACCAACATTCACAGCCTTTTGATCAGATCAGCATTCTTTGTTTTCCCTGAAATGTAGCATCCAGACCTTTGATGGAGGACAGCCCCCTGCCAGGATCACACAGCATTGCTGTTTGTTTGGAACCTGCCTGAGTTAGATGTAGTAATTAGTAATTGTTCATGTGCTTATTTCCAGGTGATTTTATGTATTGGAAGTTGCCTACAGCCAAGAAAAAAAATGTTTTAAAGATTATTTTTTAAATGTATGTATGTGTGCGTGCGTGCGTGCGTGTGTGCGCGCACACACACGCACACACATGAGTGCGGATACCAGTGGAAGCCAGAAGACAGTGTCCAGTCTGCTGGGGCTGGAGCTACAGGTGGTTCTGAGCTGCCTGGCGTTGGTGCTTGGAACCGAACTCAGGCCCTCTGGGAAGCAGTATGTACTGTTAGTTGCTTAGCCATCTCTCCATCTCCCAATATATATCTTTGTTATTCTTATAAAATACTCTAAAATGATATAGAAATATGCATGAATTCTCTGTGAAAAAGATAACCAATTGACTATTGAATTCAATAAGCAAGATATTAAATTAGCAAAAAATTTAGAATAAATAAAAAATAAGTCATAATCTATATATTCTTTCATTGGTATTAGTTGAGGTATTTCACATATCGCCTTTCCTATGTTTACATAATTCCCAAGATGGAATCAGGAAACCGAACATTATTTATATATTTAGGAGGGTAAAGCTTCTTAGTGGGGCAAGGGGCATGGGTAGAAAGGCTGTGCTATGAGAGTGGGTGATGTGTGAGGAGATGGGGCCTCTGATGTGTGCAGGCCGCTAAGCTGCAGCCCTGCTCAACACAGTTATGTGCTTTAAAAAGGCCCATCGGTGCTGGCTTGTACAGTCTATAATGCAGAGGACCCCAAGAGAAGTTGGTAATTTATAATCTGAAGAGGTCTGGGCTGACTCCTTGATTTGGGCCTTGGAGCCTCTAACAGCTATGAGAACTATTTCCGTTGCTTACAGTCAGCCTGGTGTGTTTTCTGCCCTAGCAGCCCAGAAGCACTACAACAAACATCATCTGAAAGAACTCCCAGAAGCCACTGGGACAGTTCGAGGAAGGGCTTGAATGTCAGGTTTCTGGTTTGAGGCTCATTTTTGTTCTAATCAGCTATTTGTTTTATGGTCTTTAGGCTGATCTACATACCTGCAGATTGAATCTTGTTAAGGTGTTTTCAGTAGTGGGGCATGGTGGCACACATCTTTAATCTCAGCGCTCGGGAGGCAGAGGCAGGTGTATTTGAGAACAGCTTGGTCTACAGGGCAAGTTTTAGAGCAGCCAGGGCTACACAGAGACACTGTCTTGATAAACAAACAAACAAAAATTGTCCTCATATATTTAGAAGGCTGCTTGATACCATGTCCATAATGATAATTGGTTCATATAATCCCTATGGGGCCTATGAACTCCTTTAGCCCTGGGGTTTTGGCCAGGTTTACAGTGGGCCTCAAGTCCAATTAGAAAGCCATTGGTTACTCACATAACATTCATGCCACTATCACACCCGTGAGGTTATCTTGCCAAATCAGTCATTACTAAAGGTAACAAGGTTTACAGCTGGATAAGACTGTTGATGGGGTTGGGGATTTAGTTCAGTGGTAAAGTGCTTGACTAGCAAGCGCAAGAACTTGGGTCAGCCCTCAGCTCCAGTGAGGGGGGACTGTTGATAACTTGCTCCCTGGCAGCCCACATAGCACCTCTCAGAACTATGAAAGCCAGCAAGCAGGGCTAAAACTTCCTGGGCAGTATCAGCATGATGTCTCCAAGCCCTCTGACCAGAGTGTGTAATGTCTGCAGCCACAGCCTTACTGTCAGGCTCTGCTGGGTAGCTAAGAGTGATGGCGCTAACCTGCACTGTTTGGGATCCTCTGGGACTCACTCCCGTGACTTATTTTATAACTTAGGGGGAGGTTAAAAAATTACCACTGTCTGGGGGACCAGCCTCCAGCAGCACAGGGCTTTAATAGGAATCTGGGGGGGGGGGTAGGGAAAAAGGCACTCACAAACTCTCTTGGTGGTTTCCTTCTTTATTCTCTCTCTCTCTCCTCTCAAGATGTTTTGCCGTTTTATACCCCAGCAGAATCTTCCAAGCAGTATAAGAGTCAAAATGGTTCCATTTCTCAAGTGAATGATTGTAGGTAAAAACATGTTTTTCATTTCCCTCACATGATTAAACATTTTATGTATTACAGGTGAAAGACAAATTATCCCAAAAACCCATGTACATTTATACCCAAGCAACTCGTTATAGATTAACCATGTGGCAAGAAGGGGTTCTTATCAGGTCTTTTACTGGCAGCCTGCATTTTGCAGTTACAAAGAAAGGGCCAATTACTTTATTACTTATCTTGAAAGATGATCTTATAAGGAATCTTAAAGGAATCACAAGTCTAAACTTTTATATATGAAAAAATCTTTAGGATGCATACCCACTTATTAATAGTTTTTTTTAATATTAGGAGATTGAGGGCAGAAATGGGTATAAGAAATTAATTATCACATTTAGTCATCGACCAAACCTAGCAAGGAGAGAATGTCAGCCAGTAATAATTGGGCTGCTTTGTTCTTGTTCCTTGACCTTATTCAACTCCACATTCAACTATGTGAGTTTCTAAGACTTTAGATTGTCTTCTTGGGTTTTTCACCTTAAAGTTATTTAACAAAAACATCTTAGTCTAACTTTGTTTATTTTCAAAGCTTTATTTCAGTTGTGATGCACTCCGAGACCTGTGAACTAACACATTTCCCGACATTAAGGTCGAAACAATTTAAACTAGCTGGGCTACTGGGACTCAGTTGTTAGCCACTAACTTGAGCTACAGTCCATACAGCTCCTTAGGTGAGACTCACAGACTCTGGCTGGGAAACATGTCCTTGTATTTATTTTTATTCATCAAAACTCTGTATAAGCTATCATTGTTATTTTCAAATTATCAGTACAGCTTAGAGAGGGGCCATCGTCTTGACAATTCACAGGTAGAAGTGCCCAGTAGAATGGGATGTTTCCAAGAGCTTAACACACTGTATTACAGTCAGTGGAGGTCTCCCCACATCCACTCACACCATGCTAGATACGAGAGAGAGAGAGAGAGAGAGAGAGAGAGAGAGAGAGAGAGAGAGAGAGAGAGATTGATTGAGAGCCGCAACAAACATGTGAAGGCACAGAGGAAGCGAAAGACATTCTGGGGTCTGCAATCCTGTGGCCTTGCTAAACAAGATTGGCCCATCAGAGGATTCCCTTCTGGTGGGCTGACACCTGGAACTTGAGTTGTAACTGGCTCCTTTGTCATGGCTAACGGTAAAAAAAAATTGAAAAGGAAAGGAAAAAAGTGTTTTCAATTAGGCTCATCAATACCCAATAGTTTGCAGACATTAAGCAATAATTCAGGAATTGTGGTCTCTGATAAATGGAGAGGAGTGATAAAGCTGAGATGTTTGAAAAAAAGAAAAAAGAAAAAAAGAAGGGGAAGAAGTCAGGAAGAGTGAGAGATAAGGGAAACAGATGGATTACACCCCAAACCTCAGGTTTGATTGGATTAGAATTAAAAGATGAACCGCCAGTGGTTGGTTTCTTCATTGTTGACCCGGGACATAAAGCCCAGAGAGGGTTCCTTCCTTTCGTTCACCTGGCATTTCAGAACAATTAATCGGCACTAGGGCATCCAGCAAAATCCGGACTTTCACAGTTTCATGCTGGAGTGGCACGAAGGCTCTCGAGAGCTCTTATTCAGTGGGGCTGTGAGAATTAAAAAGTCCATTTGAAAGATTCCCATCAAAAACCTGAGAAGGTAAGGATGGAGACTCTTGTAGGTGTGACTGTGGGTCTGCCGTACCACACAGTGTGTGCGTATTCATGATAACCTGAGGTGGGCGTGTGTGACAAGGAGTGTGTCTCCCTTGGCTGAGTAGTTTACTTAGTGTCAGTGCCTTCATATTTTTCTGTGGGGCAGGGGAGGTGGCTCTATGGCTAAAATACTTGCCAATGCAAGTGTGAGGATCAGAGTTCAGTTCCCCAGAACCCCCATAAATGCAGGTAGTTATGGTGGCTAGCCTGCAATTCTAGCCATGAAAGACAGAGACAGGATCTCCAGAGCAGGCTCCCTAGGGAGACTAGACTTATCGACTAGCTCTGAGTTTGATTAAGAGACCCTGTCTCAGTGAATAAGGAGGAAGAGCAAAGAAGGATGATTGCCTGCATCCGCATGTATACCCACACACGCAAACATGCCTGTGTACACATGCACATGTGAAGAGGAAAAGGGGGAAACAGTTAAAAAATTGCAGCTAAGAGGTTGAGACAATGAGGGAGAAGAAGAATAGCAGACCGTGGCCTTGTAAACAGGACAGGTTAAAGTGTGGCCAGAAGGAGAAAAGGGTGCCACTCTCTAAGAAGCACAGGGTTCTTGAGAAGCCACGATCTTCACAATCTAGCTACAGTGAAACTTGGACAAATTCTTTCATTTTTCTATTTCTTTATGTGGTCAAATACTATTTATCCTTCTTGTAATGTCCAACATCTGAAGGTCAAGGATTGGTGATGTTCACAGTGTGGCCTTTCTTGGGCCTTCTCCCCCCTTTACCAAGAATAGTGAT